CTTGGTAAGGGAAGGATCAGTACCCCTCACTGATAACTTGAGTTTAGATTTTATCTTGGTTGTTCTATCTTTAAACTATAATTTGTTGTCAGTCTCTCAAATAACCACTACTTTATTTTGTATTGTTAGTTTTTGGCTTGACTTTTTTGTGTTTAAAGACATCCAAACAAGGCAGATGATTGGTTATTGTATTAAGCAAGGGATGTTATACTATATTGAATTGATGACAAAAAGTTCAAATAAGTTGTGTCAAGCCTTAATAGTAGATGGTTATTAGGGGGAGAAGAAAACATCTGACATCTAGTTATAGCATCGACGACTAGGGCATGTCTCTTTCAGTTATTTAAAAAAATTATTTCCAAACCTATTTAAAAAATATGATATTTCGAGTTTTAAGCGTGATATGTGTGAACTTGCAAAAAGCCATCGTGTTTCATTTCCAATAAGTTTGAATAGAAGCTCAGTTCCTTATATGGTCATACATTTAGATGTTTAGGGTTCATCTAATGCACCTATATTGAGTGGATCTCGGTGATTTGTTACTTTTATTGATGATTGTATAAGGGTAACTTGGGTGTGCCTGATGAAATCCAAAAGCAAAATGAATATGTTATTTCAATAATTTCATAAAATGACGTGTACCCAGTATAATGCCCAAATTCAAGTTCTTCACAGTGACAATAGTGGAAAATATATGGGGTGTGAACTTCAGTAGTACTTAAGAACTCATAGAATTATCCACCAAACTACTTGTCGAAATACGCAAAATAAGGTAGTTGAATAAAAAAATCATCACTTATTGGATGCTATATATGCTTCATTAATATAAGCTCATATGTTATTGTCCTATTAAGGCGAAACGCTTATATTAGTAGCTTATTTGATTAATCATGTTCCCTCTAACACTATTGCTTTCAAAACACCATCACAAGCCCTCGCGAAAGGTGTTATGTCTCCAGCCACCCTAAACTTACCTTCTCATGTATTTGGATATGTGGCATTCATCCATTTACATAAACACCAACACAACAAGTTGCAACCTTAGGCATTGAGGTGTGTTTTTATTTGGTATGGTACTCATCAGAAGGGGTATTGTTATTATCATCCCCCAACTCAAAAAATATTTGTCATACTAAATGTTGTTTTTCATAAAGACTCAATGTATTTTTCTAAGTATGAACTTCAGAGGGAGTATCAAGATGAACTTCAGACTCTAGACTATAAAGTACATATGTCTACATATGTTTTGTCTAACAACCAAGATGAGAGTACGGTGGATACAAGTATTAATGTGGATCTATATAGAGATAATAGTGATGATAATGACTCGCAAAGTGGTAATTAAGATATGGGTATCATGAAGGCTAGTAGTGATGACTTCCAAGCTAAGTTGATCCACCAAGAAAAGGATGAAAGTGATATACCAAACCAATCATCTACCAAGGTTGCTCTAGTAATTTAGCCAATTAAAACACTACCACAGCATCAAACTAAAGGTATTCCTAAAGCTACATATGAACCTAAACTTTCAAGTAGAGTCAAATACCCCATAAGTCATTTTGTGTCTAACCATCATTTGATTGAATCAAATATGTCATTTATAAATCAATTATCTACTGTATTTATTTCTAATAGTGTGCAGGAAGCCTTAACTGATCCAAGATGGAAAGAAGCCATGAATGAAGAGATAGAATCATTGTTAAAAAATAAGACATATGAGTTGGTTGATTGTCCACCTAAAAAAAAGTCAGTTAGGTGTCGGTGGATCTATATTGTAAAATATCAAGCAAATGGTACAATTGAGCATTTAAAAGTAAGAATGGTTGCAAAGGGGTACATTTAAACCTATAAGATTGATTATACAGAGACATTTACACCAATAGAAAAAATCAATATGGTCGGGGTCTTGTTATCTCTAGCCGTGAACTTGGATTGGCCATTACAATAGTTTAATGTGAATAACACCTTCTTATATGGTGAGTTGTCTAAAGAAGTCTATATGAATCTCCTATTGGGATGCATGATACCAGAAACACATGGCTAAGAGGTGCACATATTAAATAAATCATTATATGGATTGAAATAGTCTCCAAGAGCATGGTTTGGAAGATTCGCAAAATCTATGATAGACTTTGGTTACTACTAAAGTAATTCAGATCACATATTATTCCTGAAAAGAAAATAGAAAAAGATCACGAAACTAATTATATATATAGATGACATGGTGGTTACAGAAAATGATCCTGAGGAGAGGAAGAATTTACAAAATTACTTGTGCAAAGAATTAGAAATGAAGGATCCTAACCCTTTAAAATATTTCTTTGGAATTGAAGTATCTAGATCTAGAAAGGATATCTTCCTTTCCCAAAGAAAATATACCTTAGATTTACTACAAGAAACCAGTATGTTAGCATGCCAACCAACTGATACACCAATGGAAAAAGGTTTGAAATTATATGTTGATCCTAATTAGATATCAGTTGATAAAAGCAAGTACCAAGGACTTGTAGGAAGATTGATGTATTTGGTACACACAAAGCCAGATCTGTATATGTATTAAGTATTATTAGTCAATTTATACATAATCCTAGAGAGCAACATATGAATGCAATTATGCAAATTTTGAGGTATTTGAAGGCTGCTCCTGAAAAAGAAATATTATTCATAAAGAGTACAGATTGTCAAAATATAGATACATATACTGATGCTAATTGGGCTGGATTAATATATGACAGACGATCTACTTTAGGGTATTTTACCTTTGTAGGTGACAATCTTGTTACATAGAGAAGCAAAAAACAAAATGTAGAAGCACATTTTAATGTAGAAGCGAAATTCAAAGGTATGTCTCTCAAAATTTGTGAAGCATTATGGCTAAGACTCATCTTAAACAATTTAGGCTATCCTTTTGAGCAACCAATTCGATTATATTGTGACAATAAAGTAGCATGTGACATTGCTCATAATCCAGTTTAACATAATCGTACCAAGTATGTGGAGGGAGACAAGTTCTTCATCAAAGAAAAGTTGGACGGGAAAAAAATGGAGTTACCAAAAATTCATATAGATTATTAATTAGCTAATATCCTAACCAAAACAGTTTCAAAGCAAGTGTTCTCAAAGTTGGGCATGTGTAATATCCATGCACCAACTTGAGGGAGAGAGTTCAAATATTATGATTCCTTTCTCCTTTGCAGGATTCTTTATGATTCTTTCATGTTCTGCAGATTTTCTTTTTTACAGGATTCTTTCCTCCAATGATGCTTCTTGTCTTACCTTTTTTAATAGTAATATACATGGTAGGATAGATTGATTATAGAAACAATACTATTTTTTTAATATTATATGCAAAATAGCTTGATTGTAGGATAAAGTGCTATATGTATATGTATTTTTCATTCAAAAAATAAAAACGAACAAAAATATTCTTCTTGATATTTGATTGAAACATATTTGAGGGGATGAACCCCTAAAAGTTCTCCAAAACAATCCATATATCAAATTTATTAGCTGTTTTAGTGTTCATAATGAGTGAATTATGCTAAAATAACTTCGAAGTAGACAGTATTAATTAGTCTTCGGGAAGTGACTGCTTCATTGTTGCATGCAATTACAGTTTGGAGACAAGGTTTGAAATTTGAACAGATACAGTCCTCAAAAATAGTAGTGAAGATCAAAAAATGGAAGAGCCGCCTGCAGTTAAACATTTAGTGCAAGTATTCCTAATTTCGGCTTCTTCCGAAGGGAGAGTTACAACCTCACCTGCTACAGTTAAAGAATAAAGTCCCCGGATTTAGGCTTTGAAGGGTGTTTCT